TTTATATAATTAAATATATTTATTATATTATTAATATTAAGTTTATTTATTATTGATTAGATTATAATTATCTGATTATAAATTTTTTCTATCATTACTTTGTTATTTTGTCAAAACTTATTAAATATCTATTTAGCATTATTAATAAAATAAACTGAAAAATAAGCTATCAAAGAAGTAAAGTTAGTAAAATGGCTATTAAGAAAATAAACTGTTAATAAAATATGTAATTAAAAAAGTAGGTTGTCAGTAAAATAGCTATACATAAAATAGATATTAGCAAATTAGATATTAATAAAATCTACTAAAACCTTAGAGAAGTGGGCTATTAATAAAATAGCTATTAGTAAAATAGATATTAGTAAATTAATAATAATAAATTTATCAAAAACTATATTTATTTTGCTAACTCTTATTTTATCAATAACTATTTTATTAACAGTTTACTTTTCTGACAATGTATTTTATTAACAGTCTATTTTTCTGATAGTTTATTTTTTAAACTTTACTTCATTAACTATTTATTTTTTAACAGTTTATTTTATTAATAATTCTGATCTGATTTTGGATTAGAGTTAATCTACTTTATAATTAGTAATAGCTAAAATAATAGAAAGTTTATAAAATAAATTTGTTAGTAAAATAAACTGTTAGAAAAATAAACTGTCAGTCAGATGAAATATTTATTTTTAATTCATAAAAAATAAAATTTTAAAACTCACTTTAAAAAATAGTCTAATAATAATTATACTTTTTTATAGTTGTTAAACAAAATAAAATCTAAATTGCCAAAAAACAAAACTAATAAAACTTTAACAAAAAATAAAACTTTTAACAAAAAAAGCAACTTTTGATAAAAAATAAAACTCTTGATAAAAAATAAAATCTTTAATAAAAAATGAAACTCTAATTAAAGATAAAAATTTAATAAAAGATAAATCTCTAATAAAAGTTAAAACTTCTAGCAAAAAGCAAGCTACTAATAAAGGTCAAAGCTTTTAGTAAAGTTTAAATTCTTTAAAATAATAAATAAAAATATTTTTTGTATTAATTATATATAGCATATAGCTTATATAATAAATATACATATATACATATCTAAGTATAACTAAAATTAGTTTAAATTTGATTAGTAATAATTTTTTTTATATTGTTAACTGTAATTTTTAAAGTACTCTAATAAGAAAAATTAGTATAACATATAAAAATTTTTTTATAATATATAAAGATTTTAAATAACTTAATATATTTATTTTAGTCTATAGTTTTCTAATAACTAATACAAATATTACTATTTTTGAATGCTATTATTATAATTTTTAGAATACTTGTTAAAATTAGCTAAATGATTTTTTGACCAATTTAAATAAATTTATAATTTTAGTATAATAAATTTTATAAGTATGTATATGCTTACTAATAGCTAATATAAATATTATACTAATACAAATATCTCTAATAAATATAAAAACATAATGCTTTCAAAGCATCTTTATTAGTAAATAATTAAAAAAAATAGAAAGCTTATTATTTATTTTATAAATCAAGTTCTTAAATACTTTTAAAAATATAAATATACTGTAATGCACTGACAAAAGAATTGGAGTTCAATATAAAAATATCTGAAAAAAATTTATAAAATGCTTTAAAATATTTTAACTGTTATTGGATCAAAATTTTAAAATTTTACTAATATTAAAAAACTTTGCAATGCATTTTTGATTAATATTAATAAAATCATGATTTTTTAAACAAAATCTTAAGTCACATCTCTAAATCAGACAGCAAATTCTTAACCATATCTAACTTTTTAATATTAACATCTACTTGTATAATATATTTATTATTAAAGTCTAATTTATATATTAAGACTTTCTTATATTGTCTATTGAGATTTATTAGTTAATAAAAACAGTTTTTTTCATAAATTTTTATATAAAATAAGTATACTAAACATGTGTAAATATTAACTAAAAATTTAATACTATTGAATGTATTAACATTTATAAAGATAAAATTATTTGTAAAACAAGTATTATATTTAATATATCTTTTATATATTGTATATAATTTTTGTTATATAAATAATGTTGACCAAACATTCATAAATCTAAAATATAAAATTAATATAAACTTATAGTTTAAGATAAAAACTTTTCTAATGTTAAGATATATGATAATTTAATGAAATAGACAGATTGTTAATCTTCAAGTAGCAGGTCTAAAGTTTAAATTCCAGTATTAATAAAAATTTGAAATTCTTTCTATATTATAATTAACTGTTTTTCAATATTAGTTAAAATCAGATATCTGTTATCCATATCATACCAATCTGACTAAAAGATCATATAACATTTGTGTAATAGTTGTATTTTGTATAAAGAAATACAAATTAGTACTAGGCAATATGAACCCATGATAAGTTCTCATAACTATATAAATTACAAGAACTAGAAAGACAGAAGTTTATTTAAAAAACTTAAATAGAAAGGTAGCCTAAACTTTTGATAATGCTATTGTAAAGACTAAATCTATAAAACAGAACTAGAACTTGTAAAACTAGACAAAGAACTGACCTTTGAAAAGGAGCTGAATAGAACCAACCAAACTATCAAGATCTATTTTGGAGTAAAAGATTACATATCAGAGAATATATAAACCAGAAATATAGTTATGATCTATTTATCTGAGCTATCTTGTTGGAAACTTAATGGAACTTGAATTGAATACCAAAGTAGTAGGAATATGTTGTGAAATTAGTATCAAAATTGAAGTAAACTTTACAAGAACATAACAGTTTAATAATATATTCTAATTATAAGTGTTAGTTTTAATCATAGCAATACAAGGTCAGTTATAAGAATAGAATATAGAAGTTTCTAAAAGGTTTAGTACAAGGTCAAAAGTTCTCTATATGAGTAAACTGCTTTAAAGACTTAGTAATCATAATATATTTTTATCAGTATTGACTAAGGTCATTGATAGGCAAAGGTAGATAGATGGATATAAGAACTAGAGTGTTTAAATAGAAAATCTACAAGCAGATTTCAGGTATAACAACTAGTGTAAAACCTTCAGGCAGACTACTTAAATTAGACAATAACTAAAGTTGTATGAGTAACTAGTTGTACACTCTTTCTATGATTGTTCTCTGTAGTTGTAATGCAACCATTAGCAAATATATTATCAATAAAATTCAGAGTTGCAAGTACTCACCTTAATATTAAAAAAAAATATATAAAATTTAATATTATAATAAGATAGAACTAGTTAGTGTCTTATGTATTTTGTACTCCTTTTTATAATAATTCAAAATTTTACTAAGGTAATCTTTGTTATAACTAAACAAAAATTTTTCTATTATAATTTTCTATATCTTAACCCTAACCCAATTCTACTCATAGCCTAACTCTAACATTATTTTAACCTTTTTTATAATATCTTAAAATTTTAGTAGAATAACCTTATCGTGTAACTAAGCAAACATATTCTTATAATTTTACTACATGCTAAACCTAATCCTAACTCTAATTCTAACTTAGCCTAAACTAATTTCTATTTTATACTTAATTTTACTATAGGGAGCACGAAGTGCATAGAGGCACTGTTTAGATTTTTCCTATATAATATTAATTTACTTTAGTGTATAAACACGGGTATAATTTATAGATTATAATCCAAAATTTAAGAACAAAAAAATAAAATTCGATTAAGTTAAAGTTATATGTATAAGGTTTAACTTATACGTACTAAATTTTTGCAAGAAATTTTTTTCATTAGAAACCCAAAGGTGGTTTCATATATAAAATTTTGAGTATTATAAGCATCCGTGTTTGATACACTAATGTACAGATAGTAATTACCTTTTTTAAAATAACTTTAAAATTTTAAATTGATCATTTTAGAGATTGGACTCGGGTAGAGCTATATGATTACCCGAAATACATAATAATTTACCCGGTAATTTAATAATACACGATTAAAGGTTGATCATTTGTTCAAATATATAATACAGTAGAACTTTTTTTCTAATTAAAACTAATTAACACTTTATAATTGGCATATACTCTGATAATTAACAAAAATAATTCTAACAGAACTTTTCGCTAAAAGCTTCTAGTTTTTACTTAAGCTCAGTATAGGTAGTAATAATTATATAAACTTTCACGATCAATATACACTTAGACAAGGGAATGCCGATATGTTTAAAGTTTATTTGAAAAATTTTTGATCGTTAATCACTATATTGTACATAAAATTAACCAATCAATAAGTTTTCCTATATGCGTCAGGTTAATTGATCTTCTTTTATTCTACCTTTGCTTGAATAATAATAAATTATGTACCTATAAAACCTATGTCATTCTTAACAAATCATATCTAAACTTTAGAAAGAGGTATTAATGGTGCCCAGGGGATATTCCTCCGGCTTTGAAATAATCGTCTTAGTTTTGATTATTATTATAAGTGGAGCCATGATTTTCTCCGAATGTCATGCAGGTGTTACAAGTCCATCCGTTATCAGTAAAGTCCGTTATTCCATACTTTGTGTTACGTTTAATTTTACTCAAATAGTCAACTAATAAACCACTCGAAGATCAATCTTCGGTTCTTCGTTTTACCCATGTTTTCAAATTTTGTTCACTGTAATTTTTAATTTTTGTTAAAAATGTCATTATTTCAAATTTTTTGAATTTCAATAAAGTATTTATCAACAATTTGCATTAATCCAATCTTATTTCAATTGTTCTCAAACCTAATTATATTTAATTTTATCCCGACTTTAAAAAAAAAATTAAAAAAAAAAAAACATTCGGTCCAACAATCAGGCAAGCGTTGCATAAAAGTTTGACTCCCGCATTTGTCATATGCCAAAATCGTTTTTAACGCATTAATTCCTTTTCTATCAAACAAAAGATTAATTTATTTACAATTGCTAAACGTTAATTTTTCTCATAAACTGGTGTGTTACCAGGATTTCTAAAGTCCTACAATAAGCAATGTTTTTGCAATGGATTTCCTGGTTAAGACTTCTCGATCATAATCCTGGTACAGATCAATATTTTAAATTTGTACTTTAAAAGAATTTTTAATTTTTTTATATTTTCAATTTTATATTATTGTGTTTAGATTCTGATTATGCTAAATAACATTACATGTGATTGTAATTTCCTTTCTTTGGTAGAAAGCAATGTTCTGGCTAAATTTCCTTTAAATGTTCGAAAGGTACTTATTTCTGAGATAACCCAAACTTTGCTCCAAACGCATGATCCAAATCTTTTGTCATCGATCACTCACGTTAAATGGGTTATGGAAGCTGTTGGTCAAGGATTTGCTTTACCTTTAGAAGACATGTCTATTATTACTGCGAATTCCAAGGAATTATATTCACAATGGTTATTTGAACCAAATTCTAGACCTGCTGCCATTAGAAATGCTACTGGACAACAAGAAGAACAAGAATTTTGGCAGGTTTGGAATTTTATTCCCATTTCTTGCCTTTTTTTATATTTATATTACTAAAATTAAAAAATTTTTTCATGATTTTTCAGATAATATTTCATCATTATTCATTATTATTTCAACCTCGTTATCAAACTCCTGCTTCTAATATTTCAACACCTACAACTCCGGGATTCCCTGCAAGTAGCAATCAAATAACAACGAATTGTACACATTTACAAAATCATATTGAATTATGTAAAGGTGTTTTGATTGTTTTAACCATGGCTGGCCGTACTTTAGGCCCTCAATTCTCTGAAGAAACTTGGCTTGTGCTTTTGAAGGTGGTTTTGGGAATAACCGATTGTTTACTTCATGAACCTATCTCTACTACGACGTCTGATGGAAATATGGATAAAAAAACTGCTATGACTATGGCTGATGAATTATGTGAACATTTATTAAGAGTACTTTTTGAGTTATGGCTAAGATCAAAAATTCGTAAAGTTGAAATGTGGGATATTTTTAAAAAATGTTTTAATCAATGGACACATAGACATCAAGCTCTTCTACAATGGAATGCTACCACTTTGGCATTAACTCAACGTGTTGTCAGATTATTATATGGCCCCAAAGAAGGTGCTGATATGGTTAACGTTTCTGTGGGTGGTTATAATGTTGGATTAGACCTTCCAACTGATTTTGTATATTATGCTTGGCATAGAATGGTTTATTTAATAAATAATCCATGTACATTACCATCTTCAAACTTTTCCTCGGCAATTTCGGGAATTGGTAAGGTTATTGAAGCATTTCAAATAATTGGTCAGCCAACTATCCATAAATCTTCTCAACAAGATCAACAAGATTCTTTTTTTGCAATACCTGATGGAAACACAATATTACGTATGTTTGGTCCATGGTTATTTCAAGCTTGCATGATGAGTCGACCTGATGCGGGTACTCAGCTTGGTCGAGCTGCTGCATTTGGTATCCTTTGTAGAATATTCTGTTTACCTCAGAAACGTGAAAAATTTTTACACAATTATGTTACGCAATTCTACCTTGCTTTAATTGAAGGTTTGCGTGTCGATAGTTGTTTACCTACAATATTGATAAGCACAACATCGCTTTTCGCTACTGAATTGGAAGGCGTAAGAATGATGGTACCTGATTTTGTGGTTGGAATTAAAATGGTTTTACCAAAATTGGCACCGGGCTTTAAAATTGATGTACCTTTGGAAGATTTAAGACTTGCAGCTATAAGAGTAGCCAGTACAATTATGTGCTTACCAAACCATTTTGAAAAAGTACCCATGAGAGAGAATTGGAGTATTGGGTTGCATCAAAATGGAGATAAACTTGTTAGTAATGATGATGAAATTATGGTCAACGAACTTGTAAGCTATATAAATTGGTTATCTTTGCGTTCCAATTATTTATATGGTAACCTTTTTTACCGAACAGATGCGTGTTCTATATTCTGAAGATGAGAGTGATATCTCTAAAAAAGAAAATAAACCCGAACCTTTCACAGCCGTATGTTTTTATTTATTGATTTAGCAGTTATTTTTCATATATTATAATAATAATCATCATTATTTTCATTTATATGTATTTTTTAGCTGAAATTTTACATACTGGAACTTCTCCTTAAATCTTTAAAAACTGAAAAGTCGACATATAATCTTCGATATCTTCTTCATTTAATAAATGTTTACGTGGTTGAAGATGTAGCATTTTGTCCCGGATTAGTTAGTCTCGTAGTAAAATCTATTCAAGAAAAGGTTTGTAACTTGCTAAATTATGTGCATATTTTCGTTTCATATTGCAATTATTTAAGAATCATTGATTTTATTTTTAGGTTTTGACTATGAATCTTCCTTCTGATGTAACTTTATATGCATTTGACGTTCTTAAAGACTTTGTTGGGTTGTATGAATATGTCCAGCGAGACAGCAAAGTATGAATAATTTATTGGATGTTGTGTCATTTATATTGTGTCAGTTTGTTAAAAGATATATAATTCGATTTACTTTTTAGAATTGTGCTAGAGAATTGGTTTTGGAATTTTGCCGTTATATTGACACAATGCTTTCAGGTGCATATGGTGGATTGGTAAGATTATATCGTTATTTTTCTTATGTAACTTTTTTTTTGTGATGTGTACGGGTATGTTCTTTTTTGCTATTCATTATTGAATCCATGTTGTTTCACTATGTAACTAGTCGATAACATTTCATTTAGTCGAAAAAGCATATGATTGTATGATGCGTTGGATACTTGTTGGTCAGTGGATAGTTGGTGATCGTGATTGTCATGAGGCTGTGATCTCGACAATTAGTAAAGGCATTTCAATAGTTCCAAATAATGATGACGATAATGCACAACAAAGCTCTCCTGCCGATAAGAAAAAGAATCGTAAAGATCCAATTCCTAATAAACTTTTTGCACCACGAGCTAAAATGTCTACGGCCAATAACGAAAGCATATTGCAAGCTGGTGGACAAAATCGATGTGGGAAAAAGGGGGAAATGGCCGTCAAACTTGCTGCAGAGATCGCAATGTCTCAATTTGTAAATCATTTAGGAAACTTTCCTGCTTGGAGTGACCATATTGGACCAAGCAGAGTTTCAACTCTTTTTAATGATGACTTGTTACTTGCTAAAGCACGGATCGCAGAATCGAATGTAGGATCTATTCCCGAGTTAGTTAGGTATTTTTTGGTTGATGGCCGAGTTGTAATAGGTTTTGTAGAAATACCAAAGCATCCGGTGTGGATAATTAATAATGATCCAAAGACTTTGACTGCGTCTGACAATTTTGAAACGCCTGTTGAAGCAGGAACACCTGTTTCATCTCCAGGAACTCCAAAAGCTCCAATACCACAAGAATATATTCAAAAAGAATTAGATGAAACCGATGACTGCCCATCTGTCATTATAGTTATGCGGGATAGCACAGGAAAATACTCGTGGGAATCGCATATGTGCTACAAACCACCTATTGGAGATGGCAGTAAAATTCGTCCTTTATCACCGGAAATAGACAAAGAATTGCATGAGCCAACTTTATTATCTCCTTTACAATCAATTCCAATTTTACGAACAGAAACACCTCCACATTTTCTTTATGAATCACATGGAACTAAGGATCAATCTTTTATTAAACGAGTTGCTTGTTTTAACAATGATCAAATACCTACCGTTGATAATATCTTTGAAGCCGGGTGTAATAGCTGGAGAGCTTATCGTGAAGTCAAAAAATTAACAAAAAGACAAAAGGAAATAGAGAAGCAAGCTTTTGAAGAAAGAAGGAACGCCAAGTTTGACCACCAAAGGTAAATAATCTTATTAGTGAATAACTTTGCTAATACATTCTTTATCAATTGAAATTGACTTATATATCTATGCAGTTACAAAGCCACTCCGGCCGCCCCGAACTCTAATCTCGAATGGCAAGTTTCATGAATATAAAATTCACACTATAATTTATTAATTATCTTTTATTATTGGTACATTTAGCCCGCAAGTGTTTCGGTTATTTATGTCTCATATGGGCCTGATATCTTTAGAGAATCGACATCGTGTAATACCATTAAAAATATCAGAGAAGCTTATTGGTGATCTTGAAAAATTGGATTTGTTGAATGAGTAATGTATAATTAGTTATTCACAATGCATTAAATTATATATATGTATATCAGATCATTAAGTCTATAAAATTAATTTCTTTCATCATAGGCGTAATTGTCTTAGTGCATCAGTTTATTATATCCAATCAGGTTCCGATCATCTTGAACATATTATAAATCCACCTTCTATAAGTAAAGATTTTGAAAGATTTTTAAACAGTTTGGGATGGCCGGTAAATCTATCTTTTAAAAATTATAAAATTTCAAATAGTTAATCATAATATTGATGTTCCTATGATAATTAGGTTTCATTAGACACGCATTCAGGCTACAAAGCCAAACTAGACTCATCAATCTGTAAAACGGCACCATATTTTGCAGACAGATCAGTTGAAGTTATATTCAATGTTCCATATCTTATTAAAGCACCTAACAATGATTTATCATCGGATTCATTGTCAAATCTTATCAAAAACATTTTTTCTGATGACTTAGTTTGTATAGTATGGGTTGATGACGTTTTATCAATGCAGAGTGCACCATCAAAAATTGGCCAATCTGCACTGGTGTACATATTTGTACATCCATTACAGAACGCTACAGGACTATATTGGATAAGAATAATTACACCCTCCACACCGCATTCAAGCATTGGTTCTGGACCTAACAGCGAAAAAAGAACGGGAAAAGGAAAAGTCAACTGGAATTCCGATACGCCAAAATTAAACGAAATCCACCTGGTAAACGCATATATTTATTTCATTTTTGGCGCTTTATCTAATGAATATATTTATTTTCTTAGACATTCGGACCATTAGTTGATGGTATGATAGTGAGTCGACATACAATCGGTTCACTTGTACGGAACACTGCCATATCGGCCCACGATGCATGTAGGAATTTTACAGAGACTCGAATAAGGCAGCCGTATGTACTATTTATTATACTATTTTAACACTTTCAAATTGATACGTATTATTGTTTAATTTGGGCTGCTATTAATAGATATGCCGTGAGACGACAATTTATAGATGAAATATATAATAAATATAAAACCAGTTTATCAATATCGGAGTGAGTAATTGTTTAAATAGGGCGGTTATGTTTTTTTTTTCTTTTTAATTTGATTTAATACTAATATGGTTTGATTTGCTAATAATTAATGATAGGTTTTACACTAATATATTTACAACACGATAATCTTATTTTATTTTACTACTATTAATTAATTTTTATCGTGCATAGTTCAACAATATAAACAGGTATTTTACTTAGTGTTGTTTTTAAGATCATACGTATATATAGTACATATAATATTTTGGTATTTTAATCCGATTAATTATAAAAAAGTATTTTAATTAATTAAATGTCATGAGATTATATCTGGAGTGTAATTTTAATAATTATGAATCCTAATGTGCCAGTGCTAGCTAGTTATTGACTAAAGTTAGAATTGGCTAAGTTATACTTATCTAAAGAAAGTCATAGCTTGGCAAAATCCAATTCGGTAATATTTAATTATAAATAAAAATAAATTATTGTATTGGATAAAGTACGTATCAATATACAGCATTACAAGCTTTAAGATGCTCTAATTGATTAATATGATATATTAAAATGAAATCAGATTAAAATAGAAGTTTTTGTGGTGTCATATTTGGGGATACCCACGGCAAAAGCAGGGAATAGTCCCATTCCCTGCTTTTGCTAAAGGTGTCTCCATTTATCATTATGGGCAGAATTTATAATAAATAAGTGTATAAATGGGTTTTTAAGGATTATATAGAAACCTTAAACTACTTAATTAATTCGCGGGTGATTTTCAATTAACATTTATGTTATTTTCTGTTTTTTTTGTGAAAGGCACTGGTACAAACAATTTTCTGTGGATGCTTTCGATAAGACTAAAACAATATCATCAGCTGTGATGTAATTATTTATCACGGATTAAAGTAAAATCAAAATAAAATTGGAGCAAATGCCAAAAGTGCTGTAGGTACTAATAGTTCTATTAGAAATATTGGGCTTTATTAGAAATATGAGCTAGGTGCTGAGAAAAGGGACGAAATTGACACTTTTTTCAAAAGCTGTTTTTTTACATAAATCAATTTAAAATAAGATTAAGATCCCTTTTCTCAGCACCTAGCTCATATATATTAGATATGATAAAACTAGCAGATGTGATACAATGTTGGCAATCTTATAATGTTCTATATAAAATGTCTCGTTATCTCTCTTGTAAAAGAGTCTTTTCTGCAACTCAACAAATAGAGTAATCGTGTCTTCATACATACGTAGCTTTAATAAACTTGTTATAGGACTATTTATGTCTTTATATACATTTAGTTGTTTGTCTCTTTCGTGAATGTAAACCAATCCTCTTAACACGTAACTGCAATTAGCCTTATATTTTTGTTATCAATCGTCTAACATAAGTAAATTAGTTATACCGAGCTTATAAGAGTTGTAATAGTACGTACATAAAATTTTATCTTTACCAAACCACGTATTTAAGTATCATGCACGTTCATCGGCTCTATTAATTAATCGATTTTTATCATATTTAACATACAATTCGCTCTAGCCGTTTCGCATTCTTAATAAGCCTTTATAAAACCGGTGCACATTTGAATATCCTTAAACAGTTAATTTCGGCAACAAAGTCCGAAAAGGGTGATCGCATTGATAAAATGACCTTTTATAAAACAAAATATAAAATGGATTACCATAATTGCTTGCACAAACAAAATTAAAAATAAAAAAGAATGTCTCAATCTTCATTTTCTCCGCAATATTATGAGATATTACAACAATTCCAAAAATATAATGACAAATCCGTAGCACAAGTAAAAGAAGTATCGCTTAGTAGCATTCCTGCGATACCAGACAATTTCATCATCGACGAGATTAAATTAGATGAAAAGTATAGAATTATAAGCAAGGAATATTTGGAGGATGGATTGAAAATATATGAGGATGTTATTGATGAAAAATGGAAAGATTTTAATGATGATGGATTATGCGGAGAATGGCTTAAGGTTAAGGATAGAGAAGACACAGGAAGAGTAGTACTTTACATGTTTGGTGGTGGATATTTTGCGGGATCACCGAAATCATCCCGCCTACTTACTCATCGGATCGCTGAAAATGCTGAATGTTCAATTTTTGGTACGTAAATTTTTAATCGGTGGATTTTTTTTTTTTTTTTCAGATTTGACCCATTAAAATAACATTTAATCATTTTAATTTCTTTAATCTCTATAATTAGCAATTAATTATCGTCTTTGTCCAGAGCATCAATTTCCTGCACCACTTTGTGATGCTTTAGCAGCATATCTATATCTTACCAATCCTGGTCCGGAAGCCGGATTTAAGCCAATTGATCCTAAACAAATTGTACTTGCCGGATCTAGTGCTGGTGGTGGACTAGCTGTTGCTACTGCATTATTCATTCGCGACATTGGTTTACCATTACCATCAGGACTTGTTTTATGGGTATACACCAAATATTATAAATATATACAAATCTTTTT